CAACCGTTTCAGACTCTCCAAAATCGCGCAAATGAGGCGTTTTACCAGCATTACCGTTTCCATGTAAAATGTTAGGTATGTTAGATGAATAATTAATTTAACCAGCGTTTAAATCATTACCTGCTTCAAAATGAATGCTGTTATCGAAATCATTGTTGAAACATTTGCAGTTAGCCTACTGTACGAATAAAAACACTATAACAAAAGGACATAAACGATGAATACCTGTACAAGGCGAATGAAGGTATATGTGTAGTAGCTACAAAGCATACATCTTTATTCAGATTTCAGAATGAGCACTTTGTGTATATGTTGAGGATCTCGTCCGTCCGGTGTTTATCATGTTCATCTGATGTTTGCTTCTGTAATGTATGAACGTAGCTTGTTAATAAGCAGGAGAAATCCCCGACGTTAAACAAAGAACCGTTTACGTGCCTCAGTGTTTCTATCTCACAATTCTGACTTTATAACGCACAGTTGCTTGAAATAAAGTCAGAATTGTGGAAAAAAAGGGTCGCGGTTTCCTTTTTTATTTAGTGGCGGGAAAAGGCTGCTGTCACGTTCCCTCCACAGACTGTTTAAACACATGGACGTAGTGTCCGTCACGTCACCCGTAGGTTTCCGAAGAGCGTTTTTGAAGCTCAAAAGTGGGCGGAGCCGGCCGTCGCCATCTTGGCAGCGCTTCACCACGCGTCACTCCCGGATAATCGAAGATGGGCAAAGAGGCGGGAGCTGGCTGCTGAAGCCACGCCCACCTAGCTTGACGCCGATGACGGCAGCGGCAATCCACCTGTCACTCAAGTGGCCACGCCCTTAATTATGCAGAACTTTAAGGCTTAATATAATTTAAACGGATGACTTATAAAAAAATTCACCCTCCTCACAGTTGTCATGAAGGGCAAAATTAGCTATATAGACCAAAACCACCTTTTGAACCAGGATGTAAACATGTTTTTTTCTGCTGTAAAGTTGGGCATTTTAACATGGGGAGTCTATGGGATTGACTCCCTTTTGGAGCCTCTAGCGGCCAGTCGATGAATTACAGGTTTAGTCACTTCCGTGTTGGCTTCACGAGAGAGCGGGAGGTTGCCGCTTGGTTCCCTCGCGAAAAAGTTTTGCGAGTTTCTCAGAGGAAAGCGAAAGTTGTGCATGCAAATGCAGAATGAACAAACATGAGAGAGGGGAGGAAATGTTATATTTAAAATCTTCGTGTTCCCCTAGGAGCAGACGTTTGCTAGCGAACAAACCACTGAGATGTTTTTCTTTCGTTCTTTGAGAATCACCTTTTTTTTTCGTAAAATATTTCTTTAGACATTTTCAAAATGTTCATATGCTTTATAATACTGTACAAGTGTATAATTTTGTAGTTTATTTCATTCCTACATGGTTATCTACCACAAGTCGAGCAGTATTAAAGGAACCATTTCCAAACACAGTAACGATTTATTTTATTTCATGATGATTTTCCACTCTCTCGCTACTTTACCTTTAAATATTTCTGTCTAAATGACTTCTGTTAGATTGGCAAAACAGGATGAAATTGTACATATTCAGAATTTTGTAATTGGTAAGATTTTTAAAGTTTTACAAGAAGTCTCTTCTGCTCATTTTTAAAAAAAATCAGAAATGCAGTAACATTTAGAACTATTTAAAATGACT